AGAGAGAGAGAGAGAGAGAGAGAGAGAGAGAGGGGGGTGGGGGGGGGAGTAGGAGACGGTGCTTCTCTCACCACGTGCACAGCGTGACGAGCGGGAAGGAGAACGCGGCGGCGGTGTGCAGCCTTGGCAGCCTTGCGGCCGGAAGGGAGAGCATCGCGCCGAGCAGGCAGCCGACCAGCTGCAGCCACGCAGCTCCGAGAAGCGCGCGCTGGAATGGAGGGGTGGGCACCAGCGCCGCCGCACCACCTCGGGCTCGGTCGTGATCATCGACGCGGCCGACAAATTCCGCCCCAAGCAAGCGTCCGTCTCGGGCATAGTGGCACGCCGCAGGCAGCAGGAAGTGCACGTCGGCGCTCAGCAGCGGCAAAGTCGCCCGTCTCTCCTCGCCGTTTGGCCCATCCGACAGGACCACGGGTGACCGCAGCATCAGCGACGACAAGACGGCAATTGCTAAGGGTAAGAATTGGGGTCGAGGGGTGGGCAGCGAGATATGAGACATACGGGAGTTTGAGTTGAGAGAGAGGAAGCTGTTGGGCAGGAGGGCCACACCGGCGCAGCTCGAGACGAGCAGTGCCCGGCTCCGGCAGCGACTCTGCAGCGTGTCACTGACGACAGCGCCTCGCGCTGAGCGGCCTCGGCTGCCGCTGCCTCGACCCCTGCCGCCGCCGCCGCCTCGCGCCCTGCCATTGCCGCGCCCGCTGCCGGCCGAAGCGATTTGTGCGGAGGCCCCAAATCTCAGGTCGGGGAAGCCGTCCGGGGTGTCGATGAGGGTGCACCCGAGGAGGCTGTGCGGCATCTCAGGGTCAAAGCGCCGCGGGACCACCCGCAGCTCCATCAAACCAAAATCGACCTGAGAGGGCAGGAGCGGCGGCGGAAAGGATAGCGGATGCTGCGTGTTGTCCGAGGGCAGGGACAAAAGTGGCGAGAGGAGTGGCCACCGGTGAGATGACGACAAATGTCACAGGCTGCCCCTCCCGGATCTGTGATGGGACGGCGTCGACGGAGTCCGCCGCCCCGATTGATACGATCCCGTCGCCTTGCTGCAAACCCGCTTCCGCGGCCGGTGAGCCCGGCAGCGGAGGCTGCTCCACCCAAGCGAAGGGGGCTGGTGGCATATACACAAATGTGTGCGAGCGGCGTCAGCGTGGCGGCGGGCGCTTTCCAACTCAAAACAAGAAACGCGCGATTTGTTGGGACTCGTTTCCCCTCCTTCTCGCTTAGTGCTTACGGGCATGATCGTAGAGATTCTTCTTTGTACTTTGTGCACTTTCAGAGAGAGATGTTTTTAGCAATACCATGTTTTCAGTTTTGTCACTTTCATGGCCTGTTGATTTTGTTGAGTGATTCTGAGATCAGGTTGGGCGACTGGCAGACATTTCAAAAATTTGGCGCCGCAGGCGCCCGCTGCGTGCCCACCATGGTTGGGCGCGCAGCGAAGAAAATTTTGCGCTCTCGACAGCCTTTTCTAATAGGAAAATGGCCTCTACTCGGCGCCACAGCGGAGTTCGCAAGCCGGACCTGCTGCCTTCCCTTCTACGTACACTTTCAGAATGGAGGCTCAAACGCGGCGCAGGGCTCAGACCAAGTGCAAGTCGATTTGTACCACAAAGTTGGTAGACAGTGCCAAAACCGCGGAACCGAAAATGGCGTTTAATTTCGCGCACCTGCTGTCCGCCGCCTGTGGCGGCGCTCCGCACCGCTTGAGGCGCCTGCGGCGCCCCTGGCGGCGCGCTGTCCGCGCGCCCCTCTGTGGTTTTCGTGGGGGGCTCGGCTCTCGTAAGTCTCGATTTGTACCGGATTTCGACGTTAGTGGCAAAACTGCGGAACCAAAAATGGCGTTTAATTTTGCGCACCTGCTGTCCGCCGCCTGCGGCGGCGCTCCGCGCCGCTTGGGGCGCCTGCGGCGCCGGCGCCCCACTGGCAGGTGGCAGCACGGTGTGTACGGCTGCGGGTGCGCCCGGTACACAACCGGCGCGGCTCTATGGCGTGCTCCGGGGGAGCACGACTACGCAGTCGTGGCTTCCACACGCGAGAGAGTGGCTTCTATATTTACGAAAACATTGGGCGTCCCTAGTGCCGCATCCATAAGAAGTGACGTCACGGTTCCAGGAGCGCCTGGCGGCACAGCTTAGAGTGGCAGCCGAGCGCCGGCCACGACTATCGAGTCGCCGTCGCGGAGCTGAGGGCTGGCCGACGGGTGGCGCGGTCTTCCTCCCAGCGCCACCCATCGGTCAGCCCTCAGATCGATCGATCGGCGCTCAAAGTCGCTTCAGATCCGAGAAAGCTGCTGGCGCCGCTGCCGATCCCAGCCGCGACGCCAGCAGCTTCCTCTGCTCTCCAATGCGCCGAGAAGCGACGCGGCGGTGCTCGGCTCGCCATGCACGATGACGGCTCCGCTGGGTGCTCGTCGGCCGGTCCGGTGGCACCCTATTCGCGCGTCACCTGCCGGCGTCCCGACGACAGCCTCGCGCCGCCGCTGATGGAGGGGCGGTCGGCGCCACTGCCGCCGCGCCGCCGGTGGGAGAGGCACTGGTGGTGGCCTGGGCGGCCCTCCGCCGCCGCTCGGCGCGCCCGGGCAGCGGTGGCAGCCTGCGCCGCCCCCGCTTCGAGCGGGCGCCCCCGCTTCGAGCGGGCGCCCCCCCGCTTCCAGCGGGCGCCCGGGACGGGTTCCCCGCTTCGAGCGGGGAGATGCGGCCTGGGATTCGCTTTCTGAAATGTCTGCCTCCAAAGGGGAAACGACTAACCTGATCTCAGAATCACTCCGCATTCCGCCCCAGCAGAGGCTGCAGCCGATGCGCAAGCTACACCACTGTAAGAATGGTGACTATATAAGCGTGGGTGGGCTTGCTTGCTCCCTCAGCGAGCGGGTTCTTTACCAGGTTGCAACACCTGTTCCGCACACTGCTGTGAACGCTGCTGGTTGCCGCCGGTTGAGCAGCACCCCGTCCCCATCACCCCATCCAGGTTGTTGGTTGCTGCCCCAGGTCCCGCACTATGTAGGTGCACTGCTTCAGCAGCGTACACCTTGATCCTGTACCGTGTTTGTTATATAAACCCCCCCAATGAACACACCAGTGAGGGAGGGCGAGACGATCGAGGGGTCCCGTACCATGCGGAATCGACCCTATCCCACCAGTGCAACAGTGCGGGTGGAATGCCCCGTTCTCAGTGCTTGTTCGGGTACGTGGCTCGCACGTCCCTTCGAGTCGCTGTGTCCCGTCCACGTCGCCCGTCGGTCGGCAAAGCCGACGACCTATGGTGCAATACAGGCCGCTCGTAGGGGA